TAGCTATGAAATTCTTAACACTAACGACATAATTAATTCTAAGTAAAGATCATCCTCTGTTTTTGCTGTGATAATACTGACTTTCTGAAAGAAAAATTAACAAGAAATACATTTATTAGGATTCTGAAGCAAATAGCTTTGATTAATTTTTTTCTTGTCAGTGAAAATCAGCTTTTGTTCTCAGAGCTTGAGTAATAAGGCAGGCTAAGTTGTGTGAATAATTCATGTATTAGAATTTAAGAAGGTTTGTATGGTAATGATTCTTGACAAGTTTAGTTTCTTTGGATAATTTGAAATTCTATTTGAATCATTCATTGCTTAATGCAACAAACACTACTGCTTAAAATAATTGATTTTACTCATACAGATGCTTTATGGGATAATTCCTAAGATACCCATTTATTTTAGGGATAAAAGAATTTCACACCAGTGAGAGGGAGCTCATTACCAGCCCATTTTGTAAAAGTTTCACCAACGGAAAAAAAAAATAGACTAAATTTATTCTTAAAATTATCTTTTTCAGGAGTGCCTGACTTGGATTTAAACCTTGTTTATATGTATCTCCCAAGTTGAAAACACTGTAGGTAGAGGAGTTGCCCAGTTCTTTCCACGGCAACAAGCGCAAAGATACCATATGGGTGCCGTTTTGTGTCCGGGCTGCTCTATTCCCCATCCATCCAGCTCCCTGCCTGTGGTCTGGGAAAGCAGTCGAGGATGGCCTAAAGCTTTGGGATTCTGTACCCCACTGGGATGCCTAAAGAAGCTCCTGGCTTTTGCTTTGGATCAGCTCAGCTCTGGCCGTTGCGGCTACTTGGGGAGTGAACCAGTAGATGGAAGATCTTTTGTCTCTCTACGAATCTACCTTCTCAGTTAAAATAAATAAGTCTTTTATTTAAAAAAAGTGCTGTTCTAAATTCTGTAGCCACTTCCTTTAATTTTCATCCTGTTAGGTAGAAAACCAAGACACAGATTGCTGGAGTGTCTTATTCTTAGGTGCTGTAATGGTCTCACATGACATTGTGTTTGCTTTACCTTACATATAATAGTTTCTTTCTTCTTCTTATTGTTATTATTTTATGATACAGATCAATAGGCTCTAGGATTTCTCTACCCCCTCATCAAATCCCCCCCCACTGGTTTCCCTTATATTATTACAATAGTATAGTTTTCCGTAAACAGTCATAAGTCCATGAATACAGGCATGGACAGTGGAGACAGTCCAGCATCCTATATTTAACAGATTCATTGGGAAGTACTTCTTTGATCTGGAGGTAGAGATGCATACTGCATTGTATCCTCACATTTGGATATGATAGTCTCCATTACAGTTACTATACATCCCCTTAAATGAAAAGCCACAAAACAAAATTAACAGCAGGAAGAAAAATAAACACCATGACGTTAAGTAACATGCTTCTGAATGACTAGTGTGTTGCTGAATAAATAAATGAAAAAGAAAATCAAGAACCTTCTTGAAGAAAATGATGCTACTGTATGATCTGTGAGTCAGTGAAGAATTTAATGAGGAAAAAACTATTTTTGAAGAAATGAAAATAAAAACAAAAACATTAAAATCCATGAGACATAGTTTCTGCTGATCTTTGTTGGTGAGATATATCTCCTATAGGCAATAGATAGATGGGGTTTGTTTTTAAATCCAGTCCACTAATCTGTGATGTTTGATTGATGAGTTTAAGCCATTTACATTCAGGGTTAATAAAAATAGGTGGTAATTTGGTCCTAACATTTTAGCAATGGGTTGTTCATTGATTTGGTCTTTTGTTGTTAATTTACTGGGATGTTGTTCACACTTGCCATTGATTTTGGTGGGTACAATTATTTTTCTCTGGCGAGAGAATATCTTTAAGTATCCTTTGTAAGGCAGGTTATATGTCAGTTGATTTTTTTTCACATGCAAATTTGAGGATCTTTTCCTTATGTTCAGCTGAACAGCGCTTGGTTATCACGTGTCGTGCTAAAGATCACTTTTGGTCAACCCTGTTGGGAGTTCTGTGCCCCTTCTGTGTTCTGTTTCCCAATTCTTTCTCCAGGTTAGGGAAGTTTTCCTTTATTATTTCATTAAATACACCTTTAATCCCAGTTTCTCTTTCTGTGCCCTTTGGAACTTCCACAACTCTTATATTTGGCCTTTAATTGTGTCTCTTAATTCTTGAATATTTTTTTTAGCTTGACCCAGCTCTGCTTACAGCTTTTTGATTTTTTTCCCCCTGGTGACAGGAAATATCTTCCAATTCTGAGGTTCTTTTTTCTGCCTCCTTCATTCTATTATTGAGACTTTCCATTGAATTTTTAATTTGCTCTGTTGTTTCCTTCATTCCCAATAATTCGGCTTGAATTTGTGTTGTTATTTCCTGTGTGACATTCTCCTTAAATTACATGAACTCCTGTACATGCTTCTCATTGTTGATAAGAAGCCTTATAGTGAGCGTTCTGAATTCTGTATCTCTCATTTTCTAGATGTCTTCCTCAGTAAACTCTGAGGTTGGCCAAGGCTTTTGTTGCTTTGCACAGGAGTCTTCAGTAATATTCATTGTGCCTCTGTCTCTTCTTTTGGTCTTGGTCATTGTACTTTTGGTTAGCAGATTTTCCTTGGGGCAGGTTTCTAAGCTGTGTCACCCACAGGTCTATAATTCAGTTTTACTTATTGCAGTTGATACCCAGTTCTTTGTTTGCACTCACTTGGGCCACTCTCTCCAGTGAGTTCCAGGTCTGGGCTCTAGTGTTAAACTTTTTTTTTTGTTTTTTAAAGGATGCATCCCACAGGCTTGTGTTTTTTTTTTTCCAGATTTATTTTATTTTCATCACAAAGTCAGCTATACAGAGGGGAGGAGAGGCAGAGAGGAAGATCTTCTGTCCGATGATTCAGTCCCCAAGTGACCGCAATGGCCGGTGCTGCGCTGATCTGAAGCCAGGAGCCAGGAACTTGCTCCAGGTCTCCCATGCGGGTGCTTGAACCCAAGGCTTTGGGCTGTCTTTGACTGCTTTCCCAGGCCTCAAACAAGAAGCTGGATGGGAAGTGGAGCTGCCAGGGTTAGAACCAGCACCCATATGGGATCCTGGCGTGTTTAAGGAGAGCACTTTAGCTACTAGGCTATCATACTGGACCCACACACAGGGACTCTAGCCCCAGCTCCTGGCTCACCACTCTGCCTCCTGTGATCCTGAGATGAGGCTGCACTGTTGTCTTTACAACCTTTCTCCCACTTCCGTTTCAAGCAGTTCCCAGGATTAGGGAGATACCAGGTTTTCTATACAGCTGGGTTGTTAGTGGTACTGATCTTGCAGGAACCTGCTGGTGTTTAGGTCTGACCTGTAGGATGCTAAAGGCAGTATTATTTTCCCTGTGGCACCAGTGCAGTGCACTGAGCTCAGTGAGTTCACGCCCAGCTCAGCACATGTGCAGCTCACTGTTGTTCTTGCAGTTTTAAAGCTTTTGCCACACTGTACAGAATGGCACCTGATATGCCACTAGTGGAGTTCTGGACCTGCCGGCCATTAAATCTGGGGGTTACCTGTACCTAATTTGAGTGGAACTTGTAGGATGCCATGTCAGTACAATATACTGAGCCAGAAATAAGTTAATTCCTAGCTTAGTGCATGCACAGTACTGTACCATACCTTTGCCTCCATATACAAAATGGTGCCTGATGCAGCTCTGGTTGGGGTCTGGGCCTTGTAATTAACCCTTTTCCCTCACCTCCTGTTTGAGATTGCTGCTCTGTCTCTGTTCCTAGTCAAATCAGATAAATCAACAGGACTGGCAGTTCTTTGCCTGGGTTTGCCAACTGAGCTCCTGTTAATGGCACTTCCCCCCTGGCTGCTGGTGGAGCTCCAGCTGTGGGTGAAGCTCAGATTGCCACTCACTGTCTGCTGCTGGGTTATCTTGTCACTGCAATGCCACACCATTGTCTTCACTGCTTTTCCATGTCCGTCAGTCTCCAGGTGCCCCTCTGCTGTCAGCCTGTCTTCTGTTTCCTGGATTGTGCCCTCTCTGGCTAATCATTAGCTTCACCCTGGCTAATGATTGTCCGTCTGATTCTCCGTCCTTACTCTGTTCCACCATCTTGATTCTCCCTCAAATAAATTAAAAAAAAATATATATATATATAATATTTTCAGAATAATGATATTAATGTTTTTCCTAATGTGATCCCTGAAAATAGGTTGCAAATTTTATTGTTTAATTTCTTGCTTTAAAATCATTCAGGATGGTTCTCTTCTTGGTTCTTAAGTTACCATCTCAGTACCTACCACCTACATGGAGAATTCTTTTATCCCCATCTTATCCCATCAAAAGAACAGTTTAAGGTTTAGGAGAAATGAAATACATTATCTAGAATTAGATGCTGAACCCACAAAGGACATTATTGGACCATTGGTGATTCTGATTCATATTTAAATGTTCAGATTGCCATGATGTTTTTATTAGGAGAATGGTGTTTTACTTGGTGGATAATATTTATATTCTGAAATACTGAGTTAATCAGAATGAATGTCTTAAAGCTATTCTCAAGTGATGTTCAGTTTCATAATCTGAGTGAAAGGCATGTAGAGACTGTAATTCTTATGTACATAAAAGCTTGCTCATCCGGAGTCGTGCAGCTAGTATGAAGCAGAGACGTTTATCCTAGATCTCATTCTGTGTGTGTGATCTCCTCTGCCCAAGGTCACATGTGATAGCTGTGGTAACAGTCTCATGTAAATTCTTATTCATGCCTCATACTTACTTGTTGCACTCACTTTAGCAGCATTAGTTATCACTTTCGAGTGCCTTTCAGCTCAGGTGGTTTGCCTTTTGTGGCTTCTGTCCTTTGACGTCATTTAATTATTACATAGCTATCCTTTTTAAAAGTCTCTTCTATTGTAAGCTGCTAATCTGTAATGGACTGTTAAATACATTTTATAACTTACACATGTTTCTTTATAGTTTCAATGTCAGTATCTAAAACTGCTGTCTGCCTCTTGCTTTAACAGGTTATTTTATGATGAGGCATTTGCTATGGCTGATGACCCTTTGGAAGGCTTCCATGAAGTAAACCTTGCCTCACCTACTTCCCCGGACCTTCTCAGTGTGTATGAGCCGGGAACCCAAGAACAGACTACCTCACCAAGTGTCATCTACCGGCCATACCCTTCAGCTTTATGCTCTGCCCCTATCCAGGCTAATGCATTGGATGCTTCTGACCTGCCTACACAACCTGTGTATTCATCCCCCAGACGTTTAAGTTGTGCAGAAGTCACTGGTGTCAGGTAGGAGGCCATCAAAATGTTAGTTTAGGCTATTATTTTATAAAGTTTGCTTGGTTACTTCAGCTAAATTGAGTACTAGAAGTTTGTCCATGTAGAGCAAAGACGTGTTAATGTTCTATAGCAGAAGTTGGCAAACTTCATGTAAAGGGCTCAAGACTGAATGTGTGAGGGTGTGAAAGCAGCCATAGACAATGTATGAGTATTGCTGTGTGCTAGTAAACTTACATGCGGGGAGACAGTTTTGGATTCTTTACCTTGAAATACTTCTTTTGATTTCTTCTCAGCCACTTGAAACGCAAAAACTCCTTTGCTATCAGCCTTTATGAACACAGGTGGCCAGCATGATTTAGCTTGCAGGCGACAGCGTGCTAACTTTTGTGATTAAGTAGCACCATCCAGTGGAACTTTGGAGGTGGTGAAAATGTTCTGTTTCTGTGCTAATATGAGTGATAGCCATTAACCAAGTGTGGCTTTTGAGCATTTGAGATGTAGCTGGTGTGGTGGGGTGAATGGCATTCAATAAATGTAGAGGCTGTAAAATTAAGAGTGCAATTATGTTAGTTCTTTTGAGCTCATCCTGATGTTTTCTGAAGTTTTTCTCTCTCTTTTTTTTTTTTATAGCATTCATGCTACCGACCCAGCATCTTGTTCTACCTCTGGAGTCCCAGCGGGGTTAACTAAGTTCACCGCGAGGAAAGACAGCTGTAATCCAGAGAGGGAGTTTTTACAGGGTGCCACTGTGACAGATGCTTGTGATGGCAGTGATGATATCTTTGGGTTGAGTATTGATAGCCTGTCTCGTTTACGAAGCCCCTCTGTTTTGGAAGTTAGAGAAAAGGGCTATGAAAGATTAAAAGAAGAACTTGCAAAAGCTCAGAGGGTAAGAAATAATACTTACTTTATGCTTTTGTGGGTTGTCATAGAAGTTGCCATTTCTCCATGGGTGGGGCAACTCAAATGAAATCATTCCAGTTTTACCCATGCCTTTCCCATGTGCCCAGCCTCTCAGCTCCTGTCGGGCCACATTTAGGACCTGTGAAACGGACTGGTGGGTAAACCTCATCTAAGAATAATAAGTGGGAGAATGAGATTCTGAAATTCTTCTGTGTTCCATGCATCGCCTACTCCCTGTCTTGCTCCTGTACTGCAGGTAGTGGGTCATGAGTCTCTGTCAGGCTTTTTTCCTCATTACTTGCAGTCATTCAGTCTAAGTCTTTTTTTTTTTTTTTTAGTTGTTTTACTATTATTATTACCACTTTTGTTTTCCAGTTGAATTCAGATATTTTCTGTATTTTCCTTGTAGGTTTCCTGATAAAGTATTCTGTTTTCCTTTTGGTCTTTAAATTTCTACTAGTGATTTCCAAATTTGTGGCTATATGTTAGTGTTTTCCTCAGATAGTAATTGAATTTCAAGGGGAAAATCATGGCATAGAAAGAGGAAATAGGAAAAGTCTCAAATGAGTGATGTTAACATCCACTTTAAGAATCTAATAAAGCAACAAGGAATTGAGATACTAGCAGAAATTGTGACAACAGAAAAAATTTTAAAGAGTGAAATAAAGTGCAGTTAAAAATTGATAAGCCTCTGGCCAGATTAACAAAGAAGAAAGATAGAAAACCTAAATTATCAATCACAGAAATGAAATGGGCTATTATTGCTGACTTCAAAATATACAATAAAGGAATGATATAATTCACATTTAGAAAATTGAGATGATAGGGCAAACCCTGGAGTTGTTAATTCCAGTGTTCTGTCATTTCACCAGTATCCATCCACTCCTGCTGTTTTCCTACCATACATGTCTCTTAAGAGTAACATATTTGTTTTTTTTTTTAAATCACCAGTAGCTAATGCAGTATAGTACAGTAAGTGCTTGTAGGTGGTCCACTAAGCAGTCAGGAAGACATGTTAACACTATTTTTGGTCAAAATGTATTGGAATAAAAAAATGACCTTTTAAGTCTTCTCTCAAAGGAAGGAAATACTATGAGATGTGCTTGCATTTTACTTCATGTAATTTGGTATAGACTCCTGTCTGAATACATGATATTTTAATGAGATCCCAGATTATATGAAGGTAAACTATTTTAATATATATTGGAGATATCTATATGATATTTCTTAGAATATACAGTGATAATTTACTGATCAGATTGCTAATCTCAGTTGAGTTAGATTTCTTTTGGCATCTTTTATTTGCTGTATTTAGAAGAATTGTTGAGATAACAAATGTTAATGATTTGTGAACATATATGTGGCAAATTTTACATAATGAAGAGTACAAAACAGTATTTTTACTTAGATTTCAAGGATTGAAAGACTCTTGAATGTGAGAAAATTTCCTGAATTATAGGTTTGTCAATCAGAACTGTGTCATTAGCTATTCTCTTGTGATTATTTTGAGAGACCAGAAAATTGCTATTTTGCTATTTTATATACTTTTTCTTTACCTTATTTGTGTCTTTCTATTTAAAATGAATTTCTTTTACACAGTGTATGTTTTTCTTGATATCTTAATCTCTGCCTTTTAATTGGTGTGGTTAGATCATTTATATTTAATGTGATATTGATGTAGTTTAATCTACCATCTTATTATTTATTTTATATTTGTAACATCTATTCCTTTGGTCCTCTTTCTTTTATGCTCTCTTGAATTAATTACATATTTTTATGATTTATTTATCAGTAAGCTTATTAATGATGGCTTGAGAATTTATAGTGTAACCTGTCATTATGTAGTATTCAGTATTGGTGCATTAGCTCAATAATGGAAGAACCTTATAAAAATGTATTTCTGTTTTTCCCTCTTTAGTTTTTTTATTGTGGTTATCTTGTTTTAATTCTGCATGTATTTTAAACTTCACAATGTATCCTTACTAAGTTTTTTATAAATAATTGAAATATTAAGAAAAATTATATTTCTCACCAAAATGATTGGGCAGCTACCCTTTCTGGCACTCTCCATCTCCTCTGTGGATCCAGGTTTTCCAACTGATAACTGTTTTCCTTCTGCTTTAAGGCAGTGTTTAATGTTTGTTGTACATGTGTGATGGGGACCAATTATTTTAGCTTTTGCATACCAGCCAAGGTTTCCTTCTTTTTTGAGGCATTTGTAGTGAGTGGAACATTTTAGTGTGCTATTTTTCCCCCTGCCCTATCAGTTCTAAGGATGTTGTTTCAGTAGCATTGTTTCTCACAGGAAATTGCTCTTATCCTTTGCTTTGCTCCTCTGTAGATGTTGTTTTTCTGTCTGCCTGTTCATCGTTGTCTTTGGAGCAGTTTGGTTATGATCTATGCTGGTGTGATTTTCTTTAGGATTCTTGTACCTGGGATTTGATTAACTTAAATCTATAAGTTGTTAATTTTCATAAAATTTGGGTCATTTTTGGTGATTTTTTCCCCCCAAAAGATTTACATTCCTCCTGCATTTCTCTCTTCCTTCTGGACTTCTAAAACTATTAGAATGCTTAAAATTATCCACAGTTCATGGATATTTATTACATTTTTAAACCCTTTTTCTCCATGTTTCTTTGAGAGTTTCTGTGCTATGTCTTCTGGGTTACTGGTCTTTTCTTCTGCAGTGTCTAATCTGTGAGTCGTCCTCTGCAGTACAGTTTTTGATCCAGATGTTGTGGTGGATGCCCCAGGAAGATAATGCCAGAAAGTTAGGTGACAAACCTGGACTGTCAGGCTGAGAAATCCTAACTGTCTGGTTAGATGTATTTGAAAAGCATCTAGTGGTAGATTTTCAGGATTGCTTTGTGTCTTTGATGACTTGACAGCTCCTTTCTTCCTAACACTGACTGATATTCCTGGGTCTGAAAGAACTATAGTTGGTTGCTTGTTTACTCATTGAAAGACATCTTGGTTGCCTCCAGCTTTTGGTAGTTATGAATAAAGCTGCTGTAAGTGTCCCTTTTCAGGTTTTGTGTGGGCATTTCAACCTGGGTAAATATTTGAGTATGATTGCCTGAAGAAAGAATGCTCTGCTTTGTAAGACACTACTAACCTGTCTTTCAAAGTGGCTGTACCATTTGCATTCCCACAATCAGTGAACATGAAAGCTCTGTCGTTTCCCATCTTTGGCAGCGTTTGATGTTGTCCATGTCCTTGGTTTTGGCCATTTTCTCAGATGTATGGTGGCCTCTTGTTTTAATATGATGTAGTACATTTTTAATATGCTTGTCATCTGTACATCTCCTTTGATGGTGTCTGGTTTGATGTTTGGCCTATTTTTTTAAAAATATTTATTTTTATTGGAAAGGTAGATTTACAGAGAGAAGGAGAGACAGAAAGAAAGATTTTTCCATCTGCTGGTTCACTCCTCAGGTAGCCAGAGCTGAGCCAGTCCAAAGGTATCCCACACGGGTGCAGGGTCCCAAGGCTTTGGGCCGTTCTCAACTGCTTTTCCAGGCCACAAGCAGGGAGCTGGATCAGAAAAGTGGAGCAGCTGGGATATGAACTGGCAGCCATATGGGATCCTGTGCATGCAAGGCGAGGACTTTAGCCATTAGGCTACCACACCGGACCCAGGCCTATTTCTAAATTGAATTGTTCTTACTATTGATAAGAAGTCTTTGAGGGAATGCTTATCAGATATATCATTTGTAAGTATTTCCTCTCAGCCTGTGGTTTGCTTCTCATGCTCTTAACATTCCCATTTTTTAGCTGAGGTTTTACAGCTAATTACACTTCCTTCTCACTCCCAGTCTTTAATGTGAAAACTTTTTCAGTGTGTTCGCTTTTCTGTTATCTGAGACTCACTCTGTATTTCATTAGTCGGACATTCTCGTGGGATAGATGTTTTCTAAGGTTTATGGGCTTATAGCTCGTTGTCACCTTAAATACTCCATTCAAATTATTTTTCCTGTGACGATCTTGTTTTCTGGCATGAAGCATTGCTGTTTTAGTTTACTATCAATCTGATTTCTTTCACTTGTAGGTGATGTGTGTGTGTGTGTGTGTTTTATTACTTTTAAAAACTGTTTTTGTTTTTGATGTTAAATGACTTGGATTTCCCAGGTCAAGGAGGAAGACCTAGGAGGTCTTGGGAAGGAGTAGATGAGCTGGGAGAGCGACTGTGCTGTTTAAGTGTGAAGGACTTTGCCCTCTGTTGTTACTGGTGTGTCTGTAGCTTGCCTGTCTCCTTCCCTGTTCCCTTCTTTCAGAAGTGAGCCTTTTTCATAGAGGTTTTGGTCTTCTGATGCCTCATTTCTGAGAATGTCACAGTACTAACACCAGATACTTCCTCTTCAAGGTATTTTCTTGATCTGTTTCCTCTGGAGTCTTGGCCATCATCCCTTTTCAACTCTCCTCTCTCTAACCCTGTTCTCACCATATCCATTGTTTCTGGCCTGTGAGTTGGTTTCAGAGTCCAGCAGGTTTTTTTTTTTTTTTTTTTTTTAGCTAGAGTGGGGACACTTTCCTTTGGAGAGGGGCTCTTCGCTGAGTGCTTACTCTCGAGGTGTCTGAGAACTGACAGTTTCATGGTACTGTTACTGCTTGCAGGGAGTTTTGATATTCACCTGCAGCCCAAGCCCTTGGAAACCTTGTCGTTTCCCTTCAAGGATCGTGTGCTCTGCTTTGGGAGTTTCTGTTCAGAGTCTGGCTTCTGAGTCACCTTTCACTGCCTGCAGTTCCTTTGTGTGCAGAGGCTGACTCTGTACTGTTTGCAGCTTGGCCACAGTCTTTTATAATCTAGGGCTTATGAAGATTTTCTTATACCCAGTTTTTCTGTTTAAAGATTTGTTTATTTAAAAGGCAGAGTACAAAAGGAAGGACAGGAGAGTTGTTCCACTTACCAGCAGAGAGCAGGAATTGTTTTGGGGGAGTTAAAAGCCCCATGACGGGGTGGGTGTTTGGCACTGTGGGTTAAGAGGCTGCTTGGGACTCATGCTTCCATATTGGAATGTCAGTGTTTTGTGTCTCATTTTCCTCCTGATTCCAGCTGCCTATTGATGTGCACCCTGAGAGGCAGTAGGTTATGGCTCAAGTTCATGGTTGCACAGCACTCATCTGGCTCCTGGCTTCTGGCCCCTGGCTCTTGCAAACATTTGGAGAATTAATTGGTGGATGGGACTTCTTTGCCTCTCTGTCTGTCTCTCTGTCTTCCAAACAGAGTCCAGATAATTTAAACCAACAACAAAGCATTATGTTATCATTACAATCACAGCATGATTAACTCATTTTATTAGTGTAAAGGTTGTTCATTAGGAGAAACATTTTTTAAAACTCTGTCGGAAATGTAAATTAAGGGGCACTTTAGCAAATAAAATTGCTAACCTTAAGTCTAACTACAACACTAACACTAAGCTAAGCCTAACCCTAACCCGAAGCCTAACCATAAGTCTTCTCTAAACCTAAGCATAACCCTAAGCCAAACTCTAACCATAAGCATAACCCTAACACTACCCCTAACTCTAAAACTAGCACTAACCCTAAACCTAACCTAAGCCTAACCCTAAGCCAAACCCTAACCCTAATCCTAATTCTAACCCTAACCCTAAGCACCCTAAGCCTAACCCTACTCTAAGCCTAAATCTAACTCTAGCCTGACCCTAAGCCTAACCCTAACACTAGCCCTAACCCGAAGTCTAAGCATAACCCTAAATTTAACGCTATCCCTAACATATCATAATCTTAAACCCAACCCTAACCAAGACCCTAAGCATCACCCTGACCCAAACCCTAATCCAAACCCTTATGCTAGTCCTAATTCTAACCCTAAGCCTATGCCTAACCCTAAACCTGAGCCTAAGCATAAGTCTAACCCCAGTCCTAACCCTTACCCTAACATTAACCCCTAACAATAAGCGTAAATCTAAGCCTAAGCCTAACACTAATCCTAAAATGATCAAACCCTAACACTAAGCCTAGGCCTAACCTTAACCCTAACCTAACACTAGCCCTAACCCAATCCCTAAATCTAACCCTAAGCCCAGGCTTAACTCTAACCCTAACTATAAACCCAACCCTATCCCTAAAATTAAGCCTAAGAATAAGCCTAAACCTAACCCTAAACCTAATTCTAACCCTTAGCCTCACACTGGCCCTCACCCTCACCCTAATCCTAAGCCTAAACTGAACACTAACACTAGCCTAAACATAACTCTAACCCTCACCAAAACCCTTACCCTAAACCTAAGTCTAAATCTAACCCTAAGCTTAACCCTATCCGTAACCCTAACCATTATTCTTACACCAAGTCTAACCCTATCCCAAACCCTAAGCCTAACGGTAACCCTAACCTGATGCCTAACCCTAAGCCTACCCTAACCCTAACCCCTACCCTAGGCATAACCCTAACCCTAACCTTAAGTCTAAGCCTAACTCTAACCCCAGCCCTAAACCTAACTCTAAGCTGAACCCTATCCCTAACCCTAAGCCTAATCTTAACCCTAATTCTAACTGTGGTTACTCTTACCCTTATCCTTACCTTAACCTTAACCCTAACCCTAATAACCAGCACCTAAGCCTACATTTAAGTGCTATTATTATTTAAAAAATAATTTGTGAGCATATATATTGACCTATTGAATCATGTGTAAATGTGGAATGTCATTTCATTGTCAGTAATATTATTTAGATTTGAATGCTAAAGGGCACTGTTTACCTGTGTTTATAGTGTTAATGGTTTCTCTTCCTAGAGGAAATTTTAGATTAATTACTGTACTGTACTTAAAGTTATCTATAAAGTTTTAAAATTAAACATGAAAAAAACTGATTTTTGGTGAAATTAGTAAGCATAATGACGAAATTGTTTTCTTGATGAAAGTAATGTTTATAGAACAGTTAAGGGGAATTATGAAATCATTTTATTATAGATTTTTAAATATATGCCTATATATAATCTTTAGATGTTTTATGAACAAGTGTGAAAATTTCATATGTTGTGAAAATTTAATACGTTAGTTGGGATTATTTTGTAACTTTAGACCTAACTAATATCCCTCCATTATAGCACATACTAGATAAAAATTTTCAATATGATTATGAAGATGAGACAGTATTGGTATTTTGTAATTTTGTTAGTTAAAGATCATATAGTTTGCTGAATTTAACTTTCAATTGTGGAGATCCAAAATAAAATTATCAATTTTTCATAGGAACTGAAGTTAAAAGATGAAGAATGTGAGAGGCTTTCAAAAGTACGAGATCAACTTGGACAGGAATTGGAAGAACTCACAGCTAGTCTGTTTGAGGTTGGTCTGTTTACATCTTGGCCAACAATAGAATCTTGATTTTTCTATATTGATAGTGTTAATTTTTGAGGGAATCTTGAAAAGGATATACTTAGCTTTGTATTTATTTCTGTATAGAAACAACAACAACAAAATCTCTAGGACGTGTAGAGTCTGCATCTCAGAGCTGTGTGAAGAGAACGGCACTCTGATCTGCCAGGATTAGGTTGTTGAATGTATGTGTGGGAAGGAGGTGACTTTCAGATTTGCGTTTTATTGTGGTCAACATTTGTGGGCTGCTTTAGGGGATATGACAAACCCTCAAGTTAAGTCACTGCACATCTTGGGATTGTGTGAGCAATGTTAGAAGGCATCCCTCTCTTACTCCAGCTAGGTACCAAGTGCAGTGGTTCTCATTGGGATTGTCATCACACCGCACGACATTCAGCATCCTTAGTGGGTTAACAGGATTCTGCAGAGGAACAAGCAGTAATGTCACCTACGAAGAGAGACAGAGGGAGCCCATGAGAGAGGCACTCATTAACAGTTAGTTCACCTGATTATGGAGACTGGTGGGACCCAGGAGCTGCAGTGTGTTGGCAAGGTGAATTGGCAAGCTGGAGACCCAGAAGGGCTGAGGTGATATCATCCTAGTTGAGTTTAAAATCCTGAGAACCAAGTCTGAAGGGGCAGAATTTTCCTACTCAGGGAAGGTTAGTTTTCTTTCATTCTGTTTAGGCCTTCAGGTGATAGGGTTGGAGGAGGGAAGCCTGCTCCCACCATTTCAGTTTTACTCACTTTACTGATTGTCAGTCTCACCCAAAAACACCTGTGCAGAAACCCCGCAGGAACAAGTTCCACTGTATACTTCCCACCCTGTGATCCCGTCACATGGACGCAGAAAGATAACCATTGCACTAGACTGCCTAGAAGGTGCTGGTCTCATTGCCTGATGGCTTTGTTGACGTTGGCATTCTCTAGTGATGAGGAGAGGGTGGTACTTCTGTGGTTAGGAACCTTTGTCATGAAGTATCTTCTGTGGTTTAAGACCTTGAGTCTTTAGAATGTCCTTATCAAAAACACTGCAGTGTTGTTGAATGGCTAATGCCATTGTCATTTAGCAGTATTTTCTTTTCTTCGTTTAAGTATTACTTTAAAACTTCTATTTCATTAAAAAAAACTTAGGGAAAATTATGTTATCTTTTAAAATTTTGTTTTATGCAACATTGGTTTCCGTTTTAGAGATAAAACCCATTGTTCTTGCCTGGTGTAATCCTAACGTGTATTTTTTTCAGATAATGTTTTTCATCTTAGTATGTAGTCACTCATTGTAATGGTGGTCATAAGCTATTAAGTATATATCCACAGAGTTTATACTTTCAGTAACTTGCAGCGCATATATTTAGATATGTAAGGGTTTCTGTGCCCCTTCTGTTTCATACCCTTTTATTTTCTCCTGTTATTTTTGGGCCATGTTTTCTCATGATTTTTTTTCAAAGATTTATTTTTATTGGAAGGACAGATTTACAGAGAGTAGGAGAGATAGAAAGATCTTCATCAACTGTTTCACTCCCCAAATGGCCACAGCAGCTGAAGCTGAGCCAATCAGGAGCTTCCCTCCTGCTCTCACACATGGGTGCGGGGTCCCATGGATGTTTGGGGTGTCCTCCATTGCTTTTCCAGACCATCAGCATGGATCTGGAGCAGAAGGCAGGACACAAATTGTGCCTGTATGGGATGCCAGCATTTGAAAGTGGCGGATTAGCCAGTTGAGCCAAGCTGCCAGACCCCTCAAGAATGTAGTTTTTTTTTTTTCACTTTTTAAATTATTTTATGATACAGTTCCATAGGCTGTAGGAGTTCCTTTACCTCCTCCCCAAGTCCACTCTCTCTCCTCCACTGATCTTCTCTATTTTATTGTAATAGTACACTTCATAAATAGTCATAAGTCTATTGTCTAGGGAAACCACAGAGGCATGGGAATACTTGGCCTGAGCCAGGAGAACTTGGGAGACAGAACAAGAGGCGCAAAGGAAGGGGCGAGACTGGAAATCCCAAAAGGCCATTACATAAGGCATTTCAAACCATTTGCCATTGTGGCTACGTGAGGATATCAAAATTAAATGTGCCCTCCGCTGGCCACTTCGAATTCTTGTCTAGCAAATATTGAGGCCACTTCACAGTCGAGTAAAAAACAGGACATTTGCAGCAGAGGTCCCGGTCCAGGCCCAGGGTTTTGAAACTGGGCAGTAGACACCCTGATGGAGTCTTGGGTCATAGGCTCAGGACTCCATGTTGCCCATTCTGTCCTGAGTGAATGCCTCCGTGCTAGTTTGGATATGAGGAAGGCGTTCCTGCCTCAGAACAGCAACTAGGCAGGAACACGAGGTTTGGCTTTGAAAGAGTGAAAGAGACGTCTTGCATCACTGGAGGCCCCGAGATGGAGGGACCAACATGAGAAGGATGTCTCTCTGCTCTCAGAGGGTCCTGCCAATGGAGGACTGGCATCATATGATTCAGAGGTCCTGAACTGTGAGGACTTTCAGGACAGGAGGGGCTAGGCGGAGGGACTTAGCTTCCTCAAGTCTGTTGGTCCTATTGCAGACAGAGGTCTCTGAAGGCTGGGAGGGGAAGCCTCAACCCCCTAGATGGTGGGTGCTTTAATGATCCCCCTCCCCTCGCTTCCCAGTCAGGGAACTAAAATGTCAGGTTTGCTGACCATCAGAGAAAGAAAGGCCTCAGTCAACTGTTGGAAAGAAGCCTTTATTTGGGGGAAGGGAAGTCTGTTTTGGGGCCTTTGCACAACGGGGTTGCAGAGAAAAAGTAGGAGGCACAGACACAAAGGTGCATAAAGATGCATGCAGGAGGCTTTTATACTCCTGACATGGGAGCAGGTACCCCTGTGGCTCCTGTTAGGAAAAGAAGTGCCAGTCAGAGTTTGTCATTGGTCTGCCAGGACTCCATGGCGCTGGTGACATGCCTGATCTATACCAACTTCTTCTGGGTCTGGCCAGAGGTTCGAGTGACCTGTAGGGTGGACACAGACTCCACCCTCCTCGGTGACCATGGAAACCATCAGAAAAGATTATGAACAATGCTTTTCTAATACTCATCACTGTCTGGAGGAGCCTGGGTTTCTTGGCCCAGGTCACTGGGCTCACTTGTTTGTGGGTGCTGTATCCATGCCCAGGAGTGGGGGTTCTAGAGGTGCCCAGATCACTGGGCCCACCTGTGTGGTGGATGCTGGGTCCATGAGCCCCAGGGGTCGAGGAGTCTAACAGGTCCTGGGTCATGTGCCCAGGAGCCTTGGGCCTGCCTGCATGATAAGTGATGGATCCGTGACCCCAGGGGATGGGGAGTCCAGCTTGGCCCAGTTTGCCTGGCTCAGGTCCATGAGCCCACCTAGGAGAACTGGTTCTCCTCAGTGTGGAAAATGGACTGCTGGATGGCAGACCATCATGGTCAAAGAAGACATGGTAGCCTGTTGGGGCCTGTAGAGGACATCTGGTATCATAGCAGAGAAACGAGGATAGAACGTATGGACAACTAAATCAGCCAAACGGTGACAGCAAATATCTGGGCAAATGGAGACTATAAGGTTGACTGTGTCAGCCAGTGGACATTGAAAAGGATTCCTCATCCATAGATCAGTGAGATCCACAGCATTTTAAAACTACTGCATACCTGGGCAGAACCTTCTGAGCATTTGCCACATATTGACCCTTGGTTGATATCGGGTGATCTTTCCACATCCTCGGGTACTGGGATAGTTGGAAGGCTGGATATGGCCTATCTACTTATCTCCCCTCTACCCCCAGAAATGGGAAGAAGAGATAGAAGTTGGGAAACAATTATCACACCTACTTCTCCCTAATCCTAGATTCTGCCCACCCTGATCAACTATATATACATCATCTAAAATGATTTAAAAAAGAAAAAGAAAAAGAAAAAAAAAACCTTCCTAACAGAGAAGAGACAGATGACTCAGATGGCTTCACAGTTGAATTCTGCATCATCCCATTATCAAACCAGCAAAAACATATAAGCTCGAGACCCCTCGTTCAAATATTAGCCAACAGAATCAAATGTCATATAAAAGGATTGCATACAACGATGAAGTGGCATTTACTCTGGGATACAAAATGTTTCAACACAAGCAAGTCAACCACTGTTACATAACACATTAATAGCCTTAAAGCACGTGATATTCACAATAAAAACAAAAAGTATTAGAAGTACCACTATACTCAGCGTGGTAGTCTAATGGCTAAAGGTCCTGTCTTGCATTCTCTGGGCACCCATATGGGCATCAATTTGTATCCTGGCTGCTCCACTTCCATCTAACTCTCTGTTTGTGGCTTGGGAATGCACTGGGGATGGCCTAGGCCTTGATACCTTGCACCCATATGGGAGACTCTGAAGAGACTCCTGGCTCCTGGTTTTGGATTGGCTCAGTTCCAGCTGTTGTGGCCACTTGGGGAGTGAACCAGTGGATGTAAGATCTTTTTATCTCACCTTCTCTCTGTGAATCTGACTTTCCAGTGAAAATAAGAAAATCTTTAAAAATAATTCAACATGATGAAACTTGGAACTAAGAAGGAAAATAAACCTCAGCACACATGAATACAATATGTGAAAAGCTATAACACTGTAGTCAATGAGAGAAAACTTTGCTCTAAGATCTGGTGCAAGGAATGGATGCTTATTCTCTCCACCTCCACTCGGCATAGAACAGACAAGGTAACCAACTTGAAAAAGTTGTAGAAGAATGTCCTCTGCTTGGAAATGATGTGTTCATGTATTTTGAAACCCTTAAGGTTTCAACAAAACACAAAGAAGTTGACAAATAAATTTAGATAAGATGCAGGACACAAATATCAGTAGCATTTCACATACCAAACAATGAGCTGATAGTGAAATTAAGAAACTATCTTTTTCAAAGCATAAAAAGATCTAGAAAAAAAAGGTGGAAGACTTTTGAACTAAGACACAGACATGTGGAAAGGCATCTTATGACATAGATTGAAAGAATTACTGTATTTAAAATGTCCATTTGAAAGAGATCTACAGATACAGTGTAATCTATCAGAATTCCAATTGCATGCTTTACACAAATAGAAAAAAAAATTCCTGAAATTGCCAGGGACCCACAGAGGATCTGAATAGCTACATCAATCTTGTTGAAGAAAAAATAAATCTAGATTTGTAGCACTTCTGGATTCCAAAATACATTATGAAGCCACCATAATGAAAACAGTGTGACAGTGATGAAAAAAGAAACATAAAGATCAGTGGAATAGAATAAACAGCCTACAAATAATTTCAGTACTTTTAGTCAGTTGATCTTTAATAAGGAACCAACGTAAGAGCCAAACTCTGCTGCACAGCAGTCAACAACCTGAAAAGATAACTTGAATGGGAGCAAATGTTTGTAAACCTATATATGATAAAAGGTTAATATTCAAAATAAAAGGAAGTCTGTGAAAATAGAAATGTAGATAACCAAATTAAAAACTGAACTAAGGACCTGAGCAGTCATTTCTCCGAGAAGTCGTACTGCTGACCAACAGAAACATTGTTCAGCATCATTAGTTATCAGGTGAATGCAAATCAGAACCCTAAAGGGATATCACATCATGCCTGTAAAGATATGAATGGTAGCAAGTGTAGACAAGGATGTGGAGTGAAGGAACTCTTGGACTTTATTAATAGAAACGCAAATTGGTACAGTCATTATGGAAAACAAGTATGGAAGTTCCTTTTCCAAAAATTACAAATAGAGTTACTGTAAAACCCAACAGTTCCACCTCTGAATATGTGTGTCTGTTTGTGTTTATTATCCAAAGAAAATAAAATCAATATTTTGGTGTTCTCTGTACTCTGATGTTCATTGCTGTGTTACTTTCAGTAGTCAGGATCATGTGTGAATGAAGTAAACATGGCATATTAAAAGAAGTAAATCCTGCAGCTTGCAGCAACGTGGACAAACCTGGAGGACGTTATGCTTGAATGAAGTAAGCCAGACACAAAGAATACATGCTGCATGATTGAACAGAAGCACAGAGGAGATTGGTGCTTCAGCTGGGCAGGGCCTGCGGAAGTGGGAGTTGCTGGACAAATGATAAAATCCTTTGGTTATGCATGAGGCATAAATTCTGGAGATCTAATAAATATGCAGCATGGAGACTATTATATGTTTGAAATTTGCTGTAAAGAGACTTTTAAATTGTTCTCAGTACCACTGGAAAGAGAAAACTCTGAGGAGATGGGTATATTTTAATAAAACAGAGTGGTATGAAATAAAAATTGCAATGTCCGTAAAATTTTTGTTAAGACAGCCACATTCTTTTGTGCATCAGCTAAGACTGTCATTGAATAGTTAACACAAAGGTCATATGTGGTGCTTCGAAAGAAAAATGTGGAAAAAGTTTGCTAACTCTCAGGACATGTGGTGCATTGTGTTCAGTTTCAGGAGGATAGATGGAAAAATGCTCAAACTTCATTGGAAGCTACCTTTGATGTCTTGTTGACTTGCAGATCCTGTGCATATCTTCTGCCTCAGTCTACCTTCCTGCTTTCCTCCTGGGACTCTGGCTTTTGTCTGTTGTTCTTTTCCTCTGCCTTGCTTAGTATGCTTAGGGGAAGGTCAGCTCAGCTACCACCTCATTCTTCTGGAGCTTGGTCTGTAATTCATACTGCATTGGTGTCTCTCTATTCCTGGATACTTTTTCTAAAAAAAAGCTTCTCAGTTTTTCTGATTGCTTTCATCTGGAAGTTTGATACAGATTATGTAGTCCACTATTGGTATAAATAGTTCATTTCCAAGTATTTAAGCAAGTACTCATCGCATGAGTTACTCTTTAATTTATGGAATGTTGCTCATCTTGAAGAGTAGCTTTAGCTATCATTTTGTAAAAAATCTGTTGACTTGTCTTCTGTTGACAGCCACTTACCATTCTTGAAATACTCAGCATTGTTATTCTTAAAGGAAACTTGCTTAGTTCATCATTAAATTTGACAGCCCTTAAGGATTTTATTTTTATGGTTAGTCTAGTAAATAGTACAGATTCTTTTGTTTAAAATAACATAATGTGTACATTGACATTCAAAGACACAGAGACTGCAAATCCTTAAAACTATAAGAGAAAACAAGTAGGAATGTCCCAGTTGGATTCTGCTCTGGAGAGCTTCTACTGTGTCACTAAGCAATAGACACAGTGAGGGAGCCATTGTCAAACCACATATTTATTAATGATCATTAAAGCATACCTCCTTGCTTTTCTCTCTCCTTTCAGCTCTCCTTCTCTTTCTTTTTACAAACTTTCAAAAAATGTAAGTTAAAGTTCTAAAATATAAGTTCTTACAACCCTGTGCACTATCTCAATTCATCTAATCCCTTATAGATATACAAGTGAGATCATGTCACTCTTCATTAAAGAAGTAAGGCCTCATATTCGCAGTTTCAATTTATTGTTTGAAAGTCAGAGCAGCTGAGATTGAGATGTATACACACATGCTTGCGCGCGCGCACACACACACACACACACACACACACACACACACACACACAAAGAGTCTTTCATTTGTTGGTTTACTTCCTAAATGACTACAACAAATGACTTAACTGTGAAGTCTGGGCCAAGTCAGGGCTAGGAGCCAGGAACTCCAACTGGTTCTTCTGTGTGGGTGACATGGGCTTGAGCACATCGTCCACTGCTTTTCCAGGTGCATTAGCAGGAAGCCAGATTGCAGTAGAGTAGCTGAGGACAAGAACCAGCACTCCGATGTGGGATGTTAACATCAAAAGCAGTGGCTCAGTGTGCTGCACCACAACACTGGCTCCAAACCTGTAACTCTTGGTTTTTATTGATTATTAGAATGCTGTCTAACTCTTTAGTTCCTTAAGAGCAGGAGCTTTTTCCAAGAATATTTTACAGTACCTAGGACAGTGCTAAAAGAGCATATGTAAATCTTTGATAAATAGGTCTAAAATAAAAGAATTAAGTACCTGGAGTTTCATATTGTCCATATATACTTTTTCATGATCAGTTTTCTGTGAACTTTTTAAAAATTTGTCATATGCATGGATTTCAGTTTTCTTTGTACCACAGTAAGGTTTTAATTCCATTTTTTTCACAGAACAAAGTACCCTCACGTGTGTATCATGACCCAGTTATAAAAATCTTAATTGCAAGTGATTTGGCTTTGACAAGTGTGTCATTGTCTGTTTTCCTTCATGACATTTACAATTCTTACATAAGTATTGTTCATAATGATTTCACTAAACTCCACTATCTCAGTAGTAACAGGTCTTAAAAGGAGTTCCTTGTTTTAATTCCTAACGGTGTGTGTGGTGTCATCTGCTTTTTCTCTAATACTGGATTTTAATTTTCAGGCATTATTTTGCTAGATATTTTTGCTTCAATTACAGACATTTAGTGAAAGATTTTAAAAAATAAATGCTAATACTGTTTCCAAGATTTGAGATGTTGATTTTTTTAGGAAGCTCATAAGATGGTGAGAGAAGCAAATGTAAAGCAGGCAACAGCAGAAAAACAGCTGAAAGAAGCTCAAGGAAAAGTAAGTTGTCATCTTTATACTATGGAATTTTTTTTTTTTTTTAAGATTTATTTTTATTATTATTATTATTATTTTTTTTTATTGGAAAGGCGGATATACAGAGAGGAGAGACAGAGAGGAAGATCTTCCATCCGATGATTCACTCCCCAAGTGAGCGCAACAGGTCGATACTATGCCGATCCGAAGCCAGGAGCCTCTTCCGGGTCTCCCACGCGGGTGCAGGGTCCCAAAGCTTTGGGCCGTCCTCGACTGCTTTCCCAGGCCACAGGCAGGGAGCTGGAAGGGAAGCGGGGCTGCCGGGACTAGAACCGGCGCCCATATGGGATCCCGGGCGTGCTAGGCGAGGACCTTAACCACTTGCGCCACCGCGCCGGGCCCTATACTATGGAATTTTAAGAAATTCGTGCAAGTTTCAAAATACTAGAAAATGATTGTATTTTGTTCTTATTGTGAAGGCTTGGAAAACACAAAAAACAAAATAGCTACTGTGGAGATAGAAATAGTTTATATTGCTGTGTATTTATATTAGAGTTGAGTGATTTAAAGCTTTTTAGCACATACATCATCAAAACAATTATATGACTGCATTTCAAAGTTAATGTTTTTCTCACTGAGCAGAAGAACCCATATGCTAGTAGATTTTATGGTTTTAGGGTGAACCACTACTGGTTGCAAGAAAGGATGCTTGGAAGATCTTTGAGGATTTACAAAAGTACATCTTAGCTGTTTTGATAGCTTTATTAATTTAATTTTACATGGTTAATAGTAGCTTAATCTGAGTCTTAGAAAAGTATCATGAAGCTTGGGTTTGTCTTGCTGCTCACGGAAAGTACAAATTAAACTGAGATCCCATCTGTGGAAGTGTTTTGGCCCACGTCGCTATCATTGAGGGGCAGTGTCACAGTACATGCAGTCCTCATGCCTGTGTCGCTTTCTCTTCAAGATCGACGTTCTGCAGGCTGAAGTCGCTGCGCTGAAGACACTCGTCCTGTCCAGTTCTCCAACATCACCGACCCAGGAGCCTTTGCCAGGAGGAAAGACAGCTTTTAAAAAGGGACACCAGAGGAACAAAAGCACGAGCAGTGCGATGATTGGCAGTCATCAGGACCTCACTGTGATCCAGCCCATTGTGAAAGACTGCAAAGAGGTACCGCCCCAGGACTGTCTCTCCGCCTCTGTCGAGAACTGTAGTCCTCAGCACTGAGCTGATGGTTAGAGGTCTGGCCAGCAAAGTTCGAGGACAAAATGTTAAGATGGGGGAGGCTTGACCAAGAGTGGCTGCTCTCAGGGATCCTTCTGTTCCATTCTTACCTGACTGATGGGGAGAACCTGGTGCTTACCTGCGAGCTTGCTCATCTTAGGCTTCCACCAAGGGAGCAGCTGCTCAGGATCATGTGAAGGAGACTGGCTGGATGTAATGACCTGGCTGGTCAGAATGTTTCTGGGGTGCGCTAATGAAATACGAATGTGAGGAGTGAGTGAAAACAGGGCGATTTCTCGCTAAGTGGTGTGTACTTTCATTTAAATTCTGGGAAAAACGGAGTTTATTATCAGTAACAAAACTCCAGTTAATAAGCTGTGGAAGTCAAAATTATGGTAACCTCTTGCTTTTAAAATTTATATAGTTAATTGGGTTAATGTATAGTATTTTGATTTATTTGGAGTAAAACCTATATAATTATTAATAATTTAATTATTGCACATTATGAGAAAGTGTTTCCAAAGGGATTGATCAGTAATTTATGAATCATTACTCCCCTGTTTTTTTCTTGAAAACTTAATTCTACATCACTGAATTCAAGTATATTATTAATGTTGAAGAAGCTATGTGTATACTTGCTCAGTTTAAGTTTGGCATGAAAGCCAGGATTTTATCAAAATGAATAGCGAAAGTTATTATCTACTTTGTTTAATTATTAATAAGGTAGATGCTAATAAGTGAGAAATGTAATACTTGATGGAATTTGAATGTTATAAAAATCTTAAGTTCACGTTGATTTCTGTGGAATATTTAAGAACTTTTGGTCATTTCTTAAATCTGATTTCTTTGAATTTAAGTAGCATTTCCATAACATTTTTATGAGTCCATAGAGAACAGATTTCAAGAGTTTAAATATGTACAAGTGCAAGAGTATGGTACTCTCTACACTCTCCCCCTGCCTTTCTTTTTCTTTCGTTTAAAAACAAATTTTTATAATAATGTAAGGTCAGTTAGCTTTGTAATAACAGGCTTATTGCTTCTCTAAGTAAAGAACTCTACAGATAAAATGTGGGTATTCCACTGTTCCACGCAAGTGTAGACAACAGATTTCAAGGTGTAAGTTTAGCTCAGTATACATTAAGTTTATTTTTGTCATCTCCATATTATCTGCAGCCAATAATGGAAAATACATCGTAATTGTCTTTTTGTGTTTGGCTTATTTCACTAAAAAAATGATCACCAGTTGCATCAATTTTGTTGCAGAATATTGGATGTGAGTGTTATTCCCTTGTGTATAGGTACCACATTTTCTTTATCCAGTCATCAGTTAATGGGCACCTGGTTGAATCCAAATGTTAGCTATTATGAATTGGTTAAGTAGCTTTTTTTTTTTAAGTTTTATTTATTTTCATTTAAAGGGAACTCTACAGAGATAAGGACAGACAGAAAGATCTTCTGTCCACTGGTTCACTCCCCAAATGGCTGCAATAGCCGGAGCTGAGCCAATCCAAAGCCAGGAGCCAGGAGCTTCTTTTAGGTTTCCCACATGGGTGCAGGGTCCCAAGGTTTTGGGCCATCTTCTATTGCCTTCCCAGGCCACAGCAATGAGCTGAATAGGAAGGTGGAGCAGCTGGGATGTGAACTGATGCCCACATGGGATGCCAGTACTTGCAAATAGGATTAGCCGATTGAGCCATTGTGCCAGCCCCAGATTAAAAAGCATTTTTAATTGCTTGGTATATCTTGTATTTTTGCCATTGTTTTGATTCAGAATATCTAATTTGTACTTTTTCCACTTATAGTTCATACTAAAATAATTAAATGTTTTATCAGGTAACACTTTAAATAGTTCAGTTTTGAGATCCCATAAAATGTCAACAGGCAATATATAACTTCAAATTAATAACTTTTTGTTTTTTGCGTATATGTTCTGATATTTTGTAAAAAAAAAAACAAACAAAAAAAACTTGTTAAAAAGTCTTACGTGACAAAGGAAATATACAAATTTGGCCTGTGTAAGTCTTGTTATAGGTAGTGTCAATATTAAAGATGACTTGTGCTCACCTTGTGTTTCTGTGGGAAATGAAATGGGGCCTTCAGTCATGGCATTAGCAGTGCATTTCCTGAGAACGTTCAGAAAACAAGCATGTGGGCTGGGTGTTGCAGTGCACCTGTGGCTGGAGATGCCCTGCCTCACACTGGACTGCCTGGGTTCACACCATGGCTCTCCTTCCAATCCCTGCTTCCTGCGAGTGTGTACTTAGGAAGGCAGGCAGGAATCTGCCACTCGTATGGGGATGTGGCTGGGATTCGTGCATCTAGGCCTCAGCTTCACCCAGACATGAGTGTTTTGGGAATTTGGAAATTAAGCCAACACATGGCAGGTCTTCTCCTTCTCTCTGTATTACACTGCTATTCAGATAAACAACAGCAAGCCTTAACACACATGCATATGTGCACACGTACACATACAAACTGCTCAGTGCTTTGGGGTCAAGCTGCTTAGGTTTGAATTTGGGCCTCAGTGCTTTCTTGCTGTGCAGCCTTGGGCAGGCTGTGTTAGCTCCTTCAGCCCAGCTTCCTTATCTACAGAATGTGGGTCCTCACTGCTGTGAGGATTGGTTGTTGAAGTTGCTTACCATAGTTCTGGTGCAGGATTACTTCTTAGGAAATTATTTAACTTGTTGCCTTGAAGTATCACTTAATCCAGTTTGGGGTTTATGTCCATTTTCCCAGTAAGCTTTACATAGGGAATTAACTTGAAAATGTAGAATTATTCATCTGCTAAGACCGATTATGCCTTTGTCTTTATTTTGATCCGGGGTATTTATGAGTTGGGATGAAAACAGGTCACAGTGACACTTTGAAAGAAAGTCTGTAGGAAAGCTTGGATAAGCACAGCCTTCTCTCACTTGCCACAGTCTGTGTGCCCGCTGGTTTGTTGCTTTTCCAGTGCTCTGTGCTGGCAGGGCTGGTGCAGGTGCAGCTCTAGGCCCTGTGGATGGTGCTGATCTGGGTTGAGAGAGTCTGAGAATCTGTAGGGAAGAGTTCTAGGGGGAAACTTGCTGCAGAGAGGAAATGCTCGAATCTATGAAACTGTACCATAAAATAATACATTTTTAAAAAATGTTGACCTTTAGTCCATGTACAGGAGATGTGTATACTATGTTTTGGTTTTATGGAGTGGTTTTAGGTTTATGTTTCTAAAGTAAGCTCTCTTTGTGTTTTCTTTCGGCTTCTTTAGGCTGATTTGACTCTGTATAATGAGTTCAGATCCTGGAAGGATGAGCCCACGATGGACAGAACATGTCCTTTCTTAGACAAAATCTATCAGGAAGATATCTTTCCATGTTTGACATTTTCAAAAAGTGAGGTAACTTTTTTGTTTCATTTTAATGGGACTGCATTAGAGTTGTTTTTGTACTTCTTTATTAAGTCAGGTTACATATTTCAATATCTGATATAAACAAGATATAATAAAGTGCATGCAGGATCATAATCCTGTGGCGTTTGGTTACTGAGTATCTTTGCTTATGTGAGCAGAGGATCGTTCATAGAGAGAGACACGTATTGTGTTAGAGTGGAGGAATAGTCTGTAAGAGTAGGGCTTATCTTTTGATCATAGTCCAAAGTTCTCTGTACACTCTGCTTCAGGCATGTGCTGGGTTTATCTGCACATGATAAAATCTCACTTGGTTACTTCTTAAAAGCAGGAGAAAAAGTGCCTTCTTTGTCTGTTATAAGGGTATTAATAACACTAAAAGAATTCCAAGGAACAAGTTTCTAAAACATGTGAGGCCATGTACAAGTGTAAAGATACATTTTAAATTTGTTCTTACATGTGAATGAATGGTTTGTCCACATATGTCCTGTCAGTGTTTAAGAAATTTAACCCCCGGAGTCTCATGTGAGCTCTTTCAAGGATTTAATTGCAACAAAAACCTCAGATCAGCAGTGCAACATTTCTGCTACATACTGATCTTGTAAGTTTCCTGTACTAAAAAGTTGTGTGTGTTTGGTGCAATAAGGCATTAATATATTCATTTTAAAGTGATGTTAATAGCAGACATTAGTTGTGGATGGGGAAGCTATAGACAGTAGAATTAATATCTTTAATCCTTTTGCAGATCAAAAGAATAGTAATTTCACTATAACTGAATTGTTTCTTGAAATGGTGTTTGAATTATAAGAGAAATCAAATCAAGATTATGCACTGTTTTTCTTTACCAACAGCTAAGGCCAACCTAGTAGAACTTGGGGAAAGAATAATTTGTAAAATTAGTTTACTTTGAAATACAATTTTGATATTTTCCTGTCAGCAGAATTTCTAATACTTTGTGTGTTTTTGAAGCTGGCTGCAGCTGTTTTGGAGGCTGTGGAGAACAATACTCTGAGCATCGAACCAGTGGGACTGCAGCCGATTCGATTTGTGAAAGCTTCTGCAGTCGAGTGTGGAGGACCAAAGTAGGTTTTCACACATGAGCCTCGTGGGAGGGACTGAGGTTTTGAAGTCTCGTGTTTTGGAGTTAGTTTGTCAAGGTTTCTTAGCAGTTCAGTTTCTCCTGAGATTTCTGTTGAGTCTGTTCAGCTCAAAGACAAATCCCCAGACCGTGTGAGGTATAGCATTTCTAACTTACTTTCAAAGGAGAACCTTCTAATGCTAAAAATATTCACACATGATAGGGATCCAGGAAGAACAATTACTAGAATAATGCCTTTTTGCTTGTTTTTAAACTCTGTGTTGTAGCCTGTTAGTGAATTGTGAAATCCATTTAGCAGGTTATAAGCAGAATTATTGTATTTATGTGTGTGTATATATATGTATGTGTTTGTGTGTATGCTGGTTTTTGTGTAAAACATTTTTTTCTTGATGATCACTTCAGAACTAGTTGGGAAGATACTGAATTATACCAAGTATCAACAAGCAGTAGGTTACCAAAAAGCCTTGCTTAGTCTCTTCATGCTTTGTAGTGGTCAAAGGTTCTCACTTGATAAACAATCCTGTCTTTCACATACTGAGAGCTACTCAGAGATGACACTTCCCCCATGTTTCAGAGAGTTGGCTTTCTTCCATCCAGGCAAATGACGGAAGACTAAAAGAACAGCGTTTAAAATCCTCCAAAACACACTTTTTTTTTTTTTTTGCATTGGTTTCATGACTTGGAAAATTTGAGAAAGCTGATTTGTTCATGGTTAAGAACCAGGTCAATATGGCAAACTAGAGTGTAGGAGAGCTTAGAGAAGATACTGATTGACTCCTGTTAGAGAGTTATTTTGAAGCCTAAGAGGAAAGATAGGCTGGGGGTTAACTACTACGTGTGCCGAAGCCTGCTGCAGTAGCTGTGTGATTCCTCCTGCTTTCTGTTGTGCACGAATGTTCTCAGCAGGAGGACGGTGTCAGTGTTTAGGGACCCTTGCTAACTGTTTGCTGTGTGGACCCCACATGCACCTTAGAGTCTGTCGTGCGTAGCACTCCTCCTGTGCCAATCCTGTGTCAAAGCAGCCTCTCAGTTTCTGAGAAAGGATCTGCAGTTGTAGATTCTACAGACACCCATGAATTTTTGTCCTAATTCTTCAGAAAATGGAGAATCTTCTTGGGGGAGATTTGATCTGGGTTTATGAAGCGTGAGTAGAAATCAGAAAAAGAATGATATGAAGGCTTGGAAAGAAGACAATAAAGTGTGTTGAGGATGGTGTCATATGGAATGGAAAGTAAAGATATAACAGATCTTAAAAAGTTAAATTGAGTTGAGGATGCTTGGAAGAGAAATGGCTGATTGGAGGAATGATTACATAATTTTGGAAATTAATTGGAAAGGCGATTGAGGAGGTTCAGGTTGAGGAAGATGATTACAAGCCTAGGTTTAGACATGTTGACATCGCTATGTGAGAGTGGCAAGCAACAGCTTAACATCTTGGGGGCTGGAGCTATGAAGAGTTGCTACAGTAGTAATATATTAACATATCAACATGGAGCTGGAGATGAGAAAACTTAGCATTGAATCCTGGCTCAAATAAAAAATATACTGGGTTTGCCAGCTTACAAATGACCTCAGAAATGAGGTATTTAAGAAACTGCCTTTTATAAAATTATTATTTTGAAATTATATCAGTAGAGCAGGTGATTGGTATATATCTGCTGGTAGAAAAATTGTGTGTGAATTTTATTTTTTGGAGTTGATGGGTCATTTTCCTCTTGTGAAAAATTATACATTTAGAAGTCCTTAATACTTGTGCCTTGGATTGTTTTCTGTCATCAGCAAACTAGTGCTGTTAAATATTGTTACATATTAAAGAAATGTATTAATAAAAGAAAAATGAGACAAAATCTCCTGAAAGAATTGGTTTGTGATTTGAATGACACCCTAAAATTACCCCTTTTCAACTGCATCTGTTCCTTGTAAGAGTAGCTGAAATTTAATGTTGTTTATTTAATGTATTGCTTTGTTATATAATTTGTAGTGTCACCTCAGAAGCTTTTGGCCATTTCATTTCACTGAGAGTGGTGCTCATTTTGCACTGATAAGGACGGTTTGCTGTGTTCAGCCAAGTTCCCAGTTCAGGAGAGTGACAGCTAGGCTGCTGCGGGTTCAGCCCGATGGACAAGCCAGCTGTGTTTCATGGAGCGTTGGAGCGACAGGTGGCACATCACTTATTCAGCAGACACTCAGTGTCTGCTGTTTGCCAGGCGTATGCTTGGTGCCAGATATTTAAAGATCAGAAAGACACGGTTTTGCTTGCAAGAGGCTTACAGCCTAATCCAAGGCAGAAAGGCCTGATACCAAATTTTATAGCTTCTAATATGCAAATAGAAAAGGTAGATGAGACCTAGGGTATTCTTTGTGTAACTTAAAATTCTGTGTTTTTATATCCTTGTGTATTCCTTTGTTCTTGCCCTGAGGTCCTGTATTATTAAATGCAAATAAATCCCCCAACCTAAAGTGCAACATGTCCCATCTAGAAGCTGCCAACCCTGCAAGCTGTCAGAATACATTTTGAGACTTGGACAACGGTTATTAAGTTTTTGTTTCTTGAGAAGTGGAATTCCTAGTGGAAAGCGGAGGTTGCCCTGCAGCTGATTGCTTATTTGCCCCAGGATAGGAGTTATATTGAAGACCTCTAGCTTCTGTTTCCAGAACATGGCTAACGAGTGGTATTAACCTTGTGTACTAGGATCTAAGTCCCGTAAGGTCAGGACCAGGTGCTCTTGGTGGCTGTAGCCCCGCATCTACAGAAGGCCTGGTACATAGCAGGTTCTCGGATGTAGTCTTAGTGAATGGGCAGATCTCTTCTACAGGGGGAACGCTTCTAATCATAAAAAACTGAAATTCTGTCATCATTATTTTACAGAAAATGTGCTCTCACTGGCCAGAGTAAGTCCTGTAAACACAGAATTAAATTGGGGGACTCAAGCAACTATTACTATATTTCTCCTTTTTGCAGATATAGGGTAAGTGGCTTACCCATGATTTTTAGTAAAGTTTGCTTTGACATGAACGTTTCACTCATGGCATTTTTTTCTTTTGGCCTAGATCACTTCTGTGTGTAATTTTTTTACGTACATTCGATATATCCAGCAGGGACTTGTGAAACAACAGGATGGTGAGTGTTGTGATTCCTGTTAAATAGTTACATAAAAGTAAGTAATAGGACATAGTAATGTTCACATAAATTGTAGTAAGCTAATAGGGCTAATAAAATGTGTGGAGAGTATGAGAGTATACCGTTAAGACATGTTTAATTCTGTTATTTCCCTCATTTTAATCTTAATTTTGAATTTTGGGCAGAACCAGTTCCGTCTCGGGGGGTACATGAGAAACGAGGTGGTAAATGTAGAGAGAATACAAAGCTCATTTGGATCTGCTTCCTGCGAGGGAAGAATGAACAGGCTGTGGACATGCTCAGTTTATTTTGCTAGCTAGGAACCATGACAAAACTCACTGTGTGTGAGTTAGGATAGCTCAAAATGGAATAAGGAATGAAGATTGCCATCTTCTCACCCACCAGAAACAGGCAGATACTCTGTCCAGGAGAGCCCAGCCACCTGCCAGTATGCTAATTTTCTCATTCCAGTCTTCCATGATTATTAATGGTTTCTAGCCACATGTCTTAGGCATAAAAGCCTTATGGCCTGACAGCTCCAAAGCAGTATTTGTTGAGTACACATAGTTGTTTTAAAATAGTTGTTTTAAAAAGCAGAAATATCAGGTGTTGAGTTAGGGGCAGCTCTGTGCTGTTTTGTGTTTGATGTTGGAGGAAATCTTGCGGATTTTTTTTTTTTTTAAGGTATTGACGTTATTCTTGTGCTTAAAACTAGTAAAAAAAGAACATACTTTTTTTTCAATAAGGTAAATCAGCAATTCTTTCTTCTGTGAAAAAATTACCCATGCTGATGAAAAGTTAGTGTAGCTCTTATATGTTGAAAAAACCCTATTGACTTAAAATACCAGTTGTGGAATTTTATTGTCTACAATGTCTGAAAGAATCAGAATGAAACCTGTCATGAAGTAATGTTTAATTTCAAAAGGCTGCATAGCATAAAAATTGTCTCTGAACTGGGTAGTAAGTACTTTTTTGTAGCTTTAACGAAAGCGACATCTCTTTTTATACCTATTGATGAGTAATATGATTTAAACTGGAGAACAGATGACTTGTGAAATTGTCAAGCATATTTTTCTGTTTGTTAAAAGGTTCATAGAGAAGATTAATGTAGGGTAGTTTGCTCTGTGATGATAGGAAGAGAGTATCAGAGGGCTGCGGGGCTGGAATACAGGCACATCTTCCTGGTTTCTGTTATCCTTCCTTTTCAGAGTGTTTGAGAAACACTGTATACTATGAGAGTTTGTAGTAGCAGAGTGTTCATTTTAAAATCTGCTTATCATCTTTACAACCACAGCTAAGACCAGGATTCTCGACTTTGCTGCTATAGGTCAAGCAGTCCTGAGCCCAGATGTAAAACATTTCACAACCTAAAACCTCTTGAGTTCTCACATTGATCCCTTACTTTATATGGCAACTTGCATCCAAAACACAGGCACGTTAGAAATATTTTATAAAATTGCTTTTAGGCTGTAAGTGTAGGGTATCTGTGGAACATTCATGATTTTTATATTTAGTTAAGTACTATCCCCAGATACCTCTTTATGTATATGCAAATCTAAATCTAATATCTGAACAAAAATTCCCCATTGCTGATTGTCCCAGGCGTTTTAGATGAGGGATACTCATGACATTTTGAGCAGGAAGGTTGTTGGAGAGGGCTGGCCCATGTTTTATAGCATCTCTGATGTTTGTTCGTTGGATGCCAGTAGCAACCTCAAGTGTGAAAATGAAAAATGCATCCAGGCATTGCCAAGTGGCCTTAGACATGAGACTTCTGGTGGAGAACCACAGGTATCGGTCAATCTGATCTGATCATATGTCAAATGAAGATTTTCCTCTGTCAGAAATACACAGCCAGCCTTTTCCACTTGGAGTGGGAGCTAGTTTACAGAGGGTCCTTTACAATAATGTTTATTTCTAGGTTGAGCCTTAACATAAAACCTTTCCTGTTAGTACAAAGAATGTTATAGAGTTTTTCAATTTATCTCTTCTTTTTCCCTACTCACCCCGTTAGTGTTGATGAAGAGTAGAATGTCCAATGTGTAGCAAACAAAGGCAAGATCTCTGCGTTGATAAGAACTCTTTTTTAAAAAAAAAATTTATGTATTTATTTAAAAGAGTTACAGTGAGAGCTTTGCATTCACACACTCACACACTCTTAAACAGAGAGAGATCTTCCATTTACTTGTTTACACTCTAGATGGCCCAGGCATGGGCCAGGATGAAGCCAGGAACTTATTGCAGGTCTCCCATGTGGGTATCAGGACCCAAGCACCTGGACAATCTCCTGCTGCTTTCCCAGGCCATTATCAGGGAACTGGGTTGAAAGTGGAACAGCCGGTATGGGAAACTGCGCCCCTAAGCGATGCCGGATTGTAGTGGTTGTTTTACCGCTATTCTACAACAGTGGCCCTGGTAATACTTCTCAAGTAAATCAGGCACTGCGTACATTCCTTTATGAAGGGAGGTGCCAGTGTTGCTGTCCACTCACGACACTGAAATGTCTACTTTTTCTTGGGCTAGGTGATAGTCTGCTACATCTAACAAACAGTTGTAACAAAACAGATGAATTCTGCTTATTGACAAAACCTGGATGCTCATGAGAGCAGGGCAAGTTTGTGTGAAATGTTGAAACAATGTCTAAGCATCAGGATATCGTTAGGACTGCCCAGCTGGCATTTCTGCGATTTCTAAGTTCTCATCAAAACATTTAAAAATACCTAATGGCATTTTATAATTTACATGTCATTTCTGTTTGTCAGTTGATCAGATGTTTTGGGAAGTTATGCAATTGAGAAAAGAGATGTCCTTGGCAAAGCTGGGATATTTCAAAGAAGAACTCTGATGCTCGGCGTGGGACCATGCACGAACCTCTCGGAACAACTGGAAAATGACTGCATATTTTTATGGTTTCTCAATATTTATTTCCAAGGAGTGGGCCCAAGACTTTTCTCCTCTTTTGCAAATTACACTAAGAAATACTGTGATTTCTTTTAAACTGACTTATGCTGTGTTTGCATATTCTTTAGTTGAACACACTGTGAAGAATTACAGGTGTACACTAGTGATTGTAATTTCTAGTTGCAAAAACAGACAAATAAATAAATGTTAGATTGACTGTGTGTGTTTTCTCTAGCTCTAACACGGCATGTGGAGTCTGCAGAATGTATTAAATGGTGATTTTCAAACTGCATGGCAGCTTGAGAGAGGCTGAATGGACAGCATTCAATTTCTGTGCTTACCTATTTTTGTCAGTTTTAAAAGTTTTCGTACTTATTTACTTGAAAGGCATAGTTAAGGAGAGAGGGAGAGACATCGTGTTTGGGGCTGAGAAAGATTTTCCACCCACTAGTTCATTCCCCAAATTGCTGTAACAGCTGGGTTTGTGCCAGTCCAAAGCCAGGAGCTTGAAATCAGATTTGGGTGTCTCCTGCATGGGTGGCAGGGGCTTTCTCAGGCACATTAGCAGGGAACTAGAGCAGAAATGGAGCAGTCAGAATTTGAACTGGTGCCCCTATGGGATGCCAGCATCACCCCAGGCAACCTGTTGTGCATTGGTGCTAACCCTATATGTATTAGAATTTCAGAAAAAGATGTAGTTGATTTGAATAGAGATTTCTGCTGCTAAAATATTTGAAAGTTACTCTTTTAATTTTTCTGCTCTATAAAGAATCCCTGTGTAATTGTGATTGTTAAATACAGGACAATGAGAGTAGTCACATTTTATTCTAGAGATGCAATGTTGAGCATCCTGGTGTAATATATTCATGTTTCATGTATATTCAGCACCACAGTGGCTTTGGAGGGATATAGAGATCAAGGTGTCAGGTGTATGCAAGGAATTCCAAAGGGGTGTGGGTTGAAAGAAGGTACTCAGGCCAGGTACACTCTCATCATAAATCTTTTAAATCCTTAAACTTGCTCAGGTAGAAAACCTGTTACAATTACTTATGCAAGTAAACAAGTTCATGGTACATATATAGTAATTACAGAGGAGCAAAAATAAGAAGGGAGAAAACAACTTCATTTTCTCCACTTAGAAAAAAACTATTAATATTTTCGGCAAACAACCTTTTGGTTTGCAAATATTTTCTACCTTATGTACACAGATTTTGAAACAATAAGTCTGCTTTTTAGCTTACATACTATTTTTCCTTTTTGGTAATATGGCTGTACATCGTAGTCCCTTTGTGTTGATTATAAGAATTTCAACAAAACTTCTTGTGTGGGAGATGTAGATAGTTTTCATTTTTTTTTTATCCTGTATGCTGTAATGAGTTCGTAGGTGAGCCACTTAAAGTAAAATTGTTGGGTGAGGACTTCCCCATGTGCTTAAATATTTGCTCTGCTGTGCCAGCTTGCCTTCCAGAAAAGTGGAACCAGTTTTACATTCACAGCAGCAGTATATTGGAGAGACAGATGATACTCTGAAGATGGTGTTGGTTTCAGTGTTGTTCAGGCTGAGTCAAGCTTGCCGATGGAAGCCTCGGTCAACAGGCTAGACAGACACCTGAGCGGATATTTGAGTCCGGTGACAGGGTCGTGGAAAGTCTCATTGTCATGCTCAGTTCAGGAATCAAACTGAACACGAAAAGAACTTGGAACCTAGAAGTCGATGTCCAGAAACATTTTTCTAATGTGGACTCATACTATTATTTAAGGTCTCAAAAGATTTCCCACACAAAGTGTACAGAGAAAGAAATCCAGAATGCTGTGAGAGGATTGAAGTGTGATCAAGTGCTTAGGTGAAGTTTGTTGGTGATTTAAAAGCCATTAATAGCGGGAAGTGTTAAGCTTAGTGGTTAGGTGACTGCATGGAGTTCTCTCATCATACTGGAAGAGCCTGAATTTGAGTACTGGTTCCACTCCTGATTCTGCCCTCCTGCTCGTGCACACCCTGTGAGGAGCAGAGAATGAGAAGCAAGACAATGCTTTCACAGAACAAACCCTCATGTCTCTAAATTGATCTCAGCATAGATGTAATGCAACTGCAAGCCACATCTCAGCATTTCCTCTGGAATATATGGGCTCATCAGAAATTTATGTGGCAGAGTAAAGGTTGGAGAATGACCAAGACACATCTGAAGTAAAAGGAGAGAGAACTTCCTGAAAGAACTTCTTGTGAAGCTGAAATACTTAATGTGGTGTTAGTATAGGTTGGCCAAGCAATAGAGAGCGCCAAAGCAAAGCCACACAGGTGCGTCAGTTTCATATTGGCAGAGGAAATAGATCAGTTCATTAAATGGAGCCAACAAAATGAAAAATTAGAAATCTGATCTCTTCCTTATATCATACACAAGCTACTTTAAATGTTAAGCTTTATAACTTCACATGTGGAAGATATGGATGAAATTATGATTGAAAGTATAGATGTCGTATATATAGGAAATACACCGAAATGTCAGAAATGAATTAACGGAGAACATGAGAAGTACTTTGGAGCTGAGTTTATTATTGAAGTAGGATGGCCATCACCTTACAGGATGACACACTGAAACAAAGCAAGTGAGAGATTTTAGTACTTTTACAAAACCTAATCCAAGTGGTGGGAAAGCAGGTGCAGAGCACAGATTAGCTGAGTTTTCACAAGATGGGAGCAGCCCATAACAGTTCCAGGCAAATGGTAGCTAAGTAGCTCTTTTGTGGGAAGACGGAATCGGGCAACATTCCAAGGAAAAACAAAATAACAGACTCTGACGTCAGGTTTGTGCATGACTCCAAGCCTACATACTGCTACGCATGTACACAGGGTGTCCTCAGCTTTACATCTCTCTTGGAATGTCTGCCAGGCATCTGCATCACCTGAATATTTTCCCAGTCCTGCTTAATTAAAGAGAAGTTTAAGTTGGAAGCAGAAAGTATAAAAGATAACTATGAGTGTAAATAAGTTGTATTGTTTTTAAATTCAAAGCTTATTCATCTCAAGACATAATTAAGCCAATGTACTATGAAGGGAAGAAATGTGTTTGTAACACAGCCAATAATGGATTAGTATTAGGAATATAAATAGAACTGCTGTGGCCCTCCATATTAGAAATACATACCTGGGATTGGTAATGTGGCACATAGCAGGTAAAAGTCTGTGGTGCTGGCATTCCATATGGATGCTGGTTCATATCCTGCTGCCCCACTTCTGCTCTAGCTTCCTGCTTATGGTGTGGGAAAAGCAACAAAAGGTGACCAAATGTGCTTCGGCCCCTGCCACTCATGTGGGAGACCAGTGTGAAGTGTCTGGGTCCTGGCCTTGGCCTGGCCCTGCCCTGTCCTGCCTGACCATTGAGACCATCGAGGAAGTAAACCAGCAGATGAAAGATAATTCTATCTTCCTGTCCGTCTGTCTCTAACCCAACCTTCAAATAAGTAATTAAAGCTTAAATGTTTATCTTTGTTAATAAACAGGGAAACAAATTAGGACTATCATAATGTGTTTAAATACATTTGGCAAAAATGAAGAAGCCCAACACAAGTCAAGTTTTGGAGATTTTAGTCAATAGGATCACTCTCATATGCTAACAGGAGTGCCTGGTTAGGTGTTCATATTTATGTGATAAAACAAGCAGTAAAATTTCAGGATAGTAGCCTCCTGTAAATGTGGGAGAAGTGAGAGGAAGGGACACAACAAACTGAGTCAGTATTAAAATTCTAGTTCTGATTAGTGGGTTCATGGCTGTTGGTCATTAGAAGTAAATGCTCTCAGGAATAAATGAAGTAGAAAGTCGCGTGTGTGGTGTGTTACAGGTCAGCATTATTAATTAGCCCCAATACACTAATGTTCTTCCATTTCTTAACAGGAAAAATACGTGATGGGATGGATGGTTGAAGAATTGTACCCTGCAGAGGGGAAAGGAAAGAAATTCAATATGATTTCTAGTCTTGGCTTAAGCAGATGCTGCGATTTTGCTGAGTTGAGGCACTCTATGGAAGGAACAAATTTGGGTATATATGCAAGTGGAGATGATAAGTCGGTAGTGGGTGAATTTAAGTTCAGCATTAAAGTCAGGGCAGGAGATAAATTTGAGAGTAGTTAGCCATGGGACCAGATGGGTTACTCTGGAGACAAGTGCTACACTGAGCTCTGAGTTACTATGACAACGGTACTGAGTCCTCAAAGAGGAAGAATCCTTAGTAAGGCAAGAGAAGGAAGAATTAGTATGATGGCTAACTTACACTCAGGACAGTATATCTAGATGAAATTAAGTTGCCAGTATTACCAATTCTAAAAGCATTCTTGCACTGCTTGTTTTTTAAGGTCCCCAAGTGGGTGCACTGTTTCTGGAGGTAATGACAACACCAAGTCCTTGTGTGGTCAGAGAAAGATCCTATTCCAACTCTCTGCTCCCAAAATGTGTTTACTGTGTTTTTCTTAGTTAGAGAATGTATGAGATACTAATCTGATACAGATATACAGAAATGATGCTTGGTATTAGCCAAAAGGCCTAAAAGTGATTAACTTTTGGAAAAGTTTCAGAAATAGATTTAGAACTAAGCAGAGAGGCTGGCTTAATGGCAAAATCTCTTACTTGGTAGTTACTTGGAGACCCTCATTCTGGTCCAGACTTGCAAGATTGGCAAGTCAGGCAGATCACTAGGCCTCTCTGGCCTCTGCTATAAAGACTGATTCTCATGTTCTCTGGTCTTTTCTAAGTCTTGGATAATCATAGCCCCTGACTGTATAGCATAGTGTAACATTGGCTGGAAGAGCAAAATTTGGTTTCTGAACACGTGACCTTCCTTAGTACTTGAACAGTGGAGAACATCTGGTTCATGGGCCATATAAGACCCACCAAATCACTTGGTCTTGACTAGCCAAGACAGTTGTAGGTAGGACTTGAACTCCACTAACTATATTGCAGGCTTTTAAAAATGTTTATTACTATTTTCTATGATATGGTTTTGTATGTGTTGGGATTTCCCCCTCAACTCCCCTCTCTCCCCATTCCCCCCTTCCAACCTTTTACCCTGTATTACAATAGTACTTCAGCAACAATCAAGTCCTACATGCTGCTATTAAAGTGTATCATGGCATTGTGGGTATAGGCAATACTTGCCAGGTCACCAGTGGGAGTTGCAGCCCATCAGAGGTTCCTAAGGTGGGAACACTTTTAAGATGGATTGTG